ACTTCCTCTGTCTTAGTGCATGAACTTTATAATGATTATTTTGGCTGATTGATTACCAGAAGCTTGGCATTTATCATGTAAATACTTTTGTAATGGCTACCTTTTTTTGTAATCGTTCAGCCGGTAATCACTAAATGCTTAAAAACATGATTTTTTTCTAAAAGATCCTATGTTTTTTTATTGTAAAGCTGAGCATAAACCATGTAAAAAAACATTTTGTCTTTATTAGTCCTATTACCAGTGAAAAGCTAGGGTGTAAAAAATGTCCATGTGATATATTAGCATGGCTTTATATCATGCACTAATCCTATTTCGGATATACAGAATTCAGCTGTGTTCACTCACTCAAACTAAACACTATAAAAGCCGCTGATTGACCTGAAGACTGATCAGAAAGCTGACCAGATGTGTCCTACTTATAATAATGGAGATGTCCTCAGATCTTCACATGAAGAGGTATCGGAACAAAGACCTGATTTTAATGAGATAGCTTGCAAAATATTGATAGAAGTAATAGAAATATTTTCCTAACCCTACTCCCAGCTCATCAGCCATTGTTATGGTCGTGGCTCCAACCTCTTTAACATGTTTACCATGCTACCCTAAGTTGCCACTTGCCAAAACCATTGCCCCTTCAACCCTTCAGGAGGAAATTTCAGTTAAGTTAATTAGCTGATCCCTTAATATATACACTTCTTTAAATTAATTAACTGACTATTATAATAATCAATATTTGCACACTGGTGTGCAGAGCACTGGCTCTATCATCTGAGTATCTACCAGAGCATCACTGTTGATCTTTCAGACGTGTAATCAGAACACACTGGCATTACCATCATTAATAGATTAGTAGGCAGATAATAAATAGTGTGCATACTTATAATCTGCAAGCATCCATACACTCGATGCATGCTCAAAGCGCTAACATTATAACCAATGGATCAATGTCCACTTGAATTTCATTCTCAGCTCCCTGCCCAGTATACAACCCAAGCTGCCTTGTCACGCACTAGGAAGTTAATGGTCACATTACCATCTCGTCCTACCAGCTACCATTCTTACTGCTTGGTGGACAGAGCACATTTTGAACTGAGTCACTTGCCTAAGGAGACACATGTGCTACATGTGTGGAGAAACTCTCAGAAAACAAGCTGCTGAATATGGTCAGTGGTCACCCATCCAACTTCTCTTTGCGACTGACGTCGCTTAACTTCAGCTTCTCTTTGCGACTGACGTTGCTTAACTGCACCTGATTTCAGAGTTGTGCACCGTGTACAGGACCACATGCCACCTGATACAGCTAATCCGGTTATGGGTTTAATCAACAAGATCTGTTACATGAACTGTACTTGTCATCCTAGGCTCATCATTAACTCACTGCTTGCTTGTTTGTTGTTTAATGCGGCACTCAGCAATATTCCAGCTATATGATGGTGGTCTGTAAATAATCGAGTCTGACTCGATCCGGTGATTGATATCATAAGCATCGATCCACGCATTTGGGACACGATGACATGCATCCACCAAGTCAGCGAGCCTGACCACCCGATCCCTTTAGTTGCCTCTTATGACAAGCAAAGTCGCCTTTTATGGCAAGCATGGGTTGCTGAAGACCTATTCTACCCCGGATCTTCATGGATCCATTAACTCACTGAGTACAACAATACACTGCTTTCCTTGTTATCTGACCCTGCTACCACTGTCATTTCTTGGTCAAAATGTGGAATCTGTGATGCATCTTAACACTTAGACAAGATAGAGTATCATACAACACGAGGTTTTACAGTTTGCCATTTAACTTTAATTGAGATAATGCCTCAATTTACAATATATTATTTGCTTGTATTTCTTATTTCTAACCCATTTTAGCATTGTGTCGATGAAGCAGATGGGCAAGCACAAAATGCACTAAAAAAATATTTTTTATTGCTTTTGTAATAATTGACAGACAAATGAGATGAAACAAATATTTATATTGCGATAGTTTGTCATCTAGAAACAAATATAGTGTGTCCCAATTCATTTATGTGCACTGCATCACGGCCTTTGTGCATGGTATCATAAACACCTGAATTTTACAAGAAAAAAAAAATGTTTGATCCCTGTCTGATTCTGAAAATAATTTTCCATTATACCTAAAGTCAGAGACGTCAGATGGCAAACCATTATGACATACTTACATGCATTGAAGGAGCCTTCAATTGATGTTGAAAATACTGTGCACATGTGTACACTACTATTGTAAACACTTTCAGTGAGTCAGTGGAATCAATATACCACATGTACTAACACAAGGTCCTGTAGTTCCACAATACTATCGCATCAAATATCTCATGAATATGGATTGATCTGTGTGTCAAGACATCCCCGTCCACAACTTGACACAATACCCTGATTCAAGTTATTGTATGTCCTACTATTCCCATCAGATCACAAGAGATGAAAAAACATTGAATATTTGTAGTTTCTAATAATTCAATATACATTATGTTTCCAGTATCTGTACATATTTGCTTAGTGAGTGAGTGAGTAGGGTTTTATGCCACCTTTACCAATATTTCAGCAATATCATGGTGGCGACACTAGAAAGAGGCTTCCCACATTGTACCATGTGAGGAATCTAATACAGCCTTCGGGGAGATGACCAAACACTTTAAACACTAGGCTTCCCTACTGCCCCACATATTTGCTCAGAAAATAAACAGAAATAGCAATATAGTTATCATGAAAGGGATGTTTTCGGGGAACTGTTCTCGACAACGGTCAGGAAACAATGGTCTGCATTGTCATCATTGCAAGTTTGAAATATAGAGATTATCATACAAGCATGTGTGTCATGCTGATTTAATGAAACAAGTGTCGGAATTCTTGTATTTCCTCAGTGAGCGCGAGGGTAAACATGGAATTCTTACAGTTTTGTAAAATTAGTACGACACACGTGAGCGTAGTAATTTCTTTACTACCAATCATTTTTCCTAATCCTTTCCAGCTCCCCTTTAAAATAATGCAGCGATCACCACCACTGTCCAGAAACACAATTTGTCAAATGACATCATTGTGTGTGACTTCATTCCGACCAAACGGCACATTAAGACTCAGACGACATCAACAATGCCGCCCGGATAACAGAAACCCTACACTGGTGCGCGAGAAGTGATATTTGCACAAGTGTTCATACAATTTTTATGGACTCTGTTATTTCTAACCATATGTGTAATAAACAGGCATATAACACTGATATAACATATCTATATATAAACATGATCTAAGCAAGTATAATATAGTGATTACTAGGGCTGGGACGAGTCCAAATTTACTACCCTGGTACCCAACCCCCTATTACCGGACCCTACCCGGGTACCCACTGTAGGTCTCAAGCGTTGTGAACACAATGTCTAACTGGGAATAGTTTAACTGTTGCCCTTGCAAAAACTGTTTAGATACATGTATGAAACCAGAGACCATATAATAGGTATATGGTCTCTTATGAAACGATAAAATCATGCGTACACTGAAGTTGACTGAAGCTTTATCTTTACTCAAACATATACAAGTCAAAAGGAATGTGTGCATCATCAGAAAGAAATGGGAACATTAGCGACTTGTAGTGTAACCACTGAGCTCCAATGAGTTTTTGTCATTAAACAATATGTCTCGTGACTAACCACGGGTCCGGGTAGTACTGTGGGTACCCGGGTCCTTCTCAGGACCCACCCGACCCGAGTACCCGAGTTACCCGTCCCAGCCCTAGTGATTACTTTCACCACTGTCCATTGTACGTGTATATTACATTACAAGTTTCCTGAAACATTTACACTGTACAAGCTATATACTAGTATATATATGATATACCCAGGTAAATATATAATTTATTTTATCAATATATGTCCATATGCTTACCTACCATGTATACATTAACTGTGTAAAGAAATGTCCTCTTTGTTTATATGCATCATAGGATCTTTATAAGTTATTTGTTTTGTTTATCACAAAGGAAAATGATTTGAGCAATTTGCAAAATCTATTACGATGATTGCATGTAATCTGCAGGTTTTCTGCTGGTAGAGTAAATACCTGTACTATACAGTTCATATGTCCACATTTTCTATCTGAATGACGATCTCATAAGATAAAATAAATTGCATGCCATATTCGACGTAATAAGCACCCACAGCGATATTTGCTAATATATTGGCTAGTGAACAATCCCAATCAGCACCCCTTCTGATTCATCATTGATCAATGTACACAAGACATGTTTATTCCCGTATTATACGTGTTCGTGTGTTATACATGTTATATGCACCCTTAATTAATCACAAAAATAACATTCTAATAAGAGCCCCCTATTTCTAATTTTGAGAGCACCCTGGGCGCTTATTACATCAAATATGGTATATGTTGATATGCCTGAAGAAGTCAAATACACGTAGAATCCTTAAAAATATAAACCCTGTCAAAAATGTCACTGTCATTATTGGTGATTATCACATTAATCACAATCAAAGTTTACCTACCTAAACGAAATAAGTAACAGTTTCACTCAAGGTAAAATATGGAACATACAACCACCTTTAAACATATTATAAGTTATATTTAATTTAAAATAGCATCATATTAACATCTCCAGCCCCTGCATAGATAGGCAATGGCTGATTACAAACTTGGTGAACTTTCTGACGATTTTTTTTAATGTCAATCTCACACAAGTGCGTGTGAATTTCTGTTTATACAAACTTTGCTATTTGTCCATCAGTACATCTAATAAGGTTTATAGTTTAAACAGGTGGTCCGTCCTCGGGTTAATGTGACCTAACCTTTCTAATGTTCAACAAAACGGGGTCACGGTCGCGATTTCACTCTGACAGTTGACTGTTATACTATGTTTATCGACTTCAACATACAGCACTGCACTCGGCATTGAAACACGCGTAAAATACACTGTATGGGTAGACAGGTATGCATGTGCGTCAACACGACTAATTACAGGTGTGTATTACCTTGAGCGGGACTGTTGCCGGTCTGCACTGGACGCCCATTTAATGGGTGAAGCCATGTCGTAGTCTGTGATCGCTCGCTGCAAAAAAGAGAAAGTATGACAAAAATTCATGATGAATTTACCTGTCGCCACACGACTTTGATGCTCAATAACTAACGCGCATGGCAGGTGACGATTGTCAACTAATACCTACTTGATAAAAAACACTCTACCATCCCTTGTCACTGAATAATTCCAATCTGGGGGAAGCCTGTCCCCTTTTGGGACATCGGCCGCCATTTTGAAACTTATAAACTGCACACCTAGCTGTTCCAGTTCCCTCCCCTGGCGAGGACAATGGCTGATGACATTTCAGGTGCGTTTACCTGGGACGCTCGCACAGGTGCGTCAAGTCTTGCATTCCACCGTGTACTCAATAACGGCGAATGGAGAGGGCGGATCGGAATGTCATTGAAGGAAATATGTAATGTGGACATGAGATTCGGAACAGCCCAGTTGTCTTTATATCCTAATTAGGTCAATGAAGAATAACATACACACAAGTTAGACATGGTTGTGTTCGTTACTATGTTGTAAATGCAGCTCATTGTCAATTGATTTATGCTAAATTGTAGTATGTGTGTGTGTGTGAGAGAGTATAGATCCCATACATCATGATTTTATCATAAGATGTGTATGGTATAGGATCCGTTACATAATAGCAGGAAATGTATTCATTAATAACTGAAAGTTCATAGTATATTTGGTTACATTAAATAAATGACTTTTCAGAGATGTTAATCCCTTTTTTATTATATGTTGTGTATGGTATCAGATGTGTATGGTATTGTGATAGGAGCGGTTATATAATAGCAGAAACAGTAATTTAATTAATAACCGCAAGTTAATAGAATGTCTGGTTACATCAAATAAATAACTTTATTATTAATATTATTTATAATCCCGTTTTTTATATATTTAAGATGTGTATGGTATTGTGATAGGAGCGGTTATATAATAGCAGAAAAAGTAATTTAATTAATAACTGCAAGTTAATAGAATGTCTGGTTACATCAAATAAATAACTTTATTATTAATATTATTTATAATCCCGTTTTTTATATATTTTAAGATGTGTATGGTATTGTGATAAGAGCGGTTATATCATAGCAGAAGAAGTAAATTAATTAATAACTGCACGTTAATAGAATGTCTGGTTACATCAACAGATCAAATAAATGACTTTTTTATTAATATTATTTATAATCCCGTTTTGTTTTGTTTTGTTTTGAAGATGTGTATGGTATTGTGATAGGAGCGGTTATATAATAGCAGAAAAGTAAATTAATTAATAACTGCAAGTTAATAGACTGTCTGGTAACATCAAATAAATGACTGTTACGATTAAGTAATCCCGTTTCATAGCTCGCCTTACTGAAAGTCAAGGGAGTTCAAGTCGTGAGGTTACTTGTAGAAGTCGCTGTTGCCATCAGCGCTGTGATAGTAGTTGCTGTGGAGGGACTAAAGTTCAGTCCATACCATGATCAGTCATGCTGTGCTTCATAAGGAGACGGAAACGTTCTTATTGATTATCGATTTTTAAATTAAGCCGATCAATCGTACTCCTGAAAAGATTTGACAGTTTTGTTCAGTGTACGGCATTATATGACGGTGCAGACGGAGATCAACCTACAACTTAACCTGTTTAACCTGGGGATACGGAGGCAGGACGGTGTCACAGTATACTCCTTTGTTGCATGGTAATTAAACGGGTCTCGGATGGGAAACTGCCTGGGTTAATAGTAGGGGCATTGTGCTTGGTAGTAATAAGAGACGACGGTCTCATAGCTGTACCTGGCCGATTGTCAATTTGTGTCAAACCTACACTTGTTTTTTTGTTTTGTTTGTTGATTAACGCCGCAATCAGCTGGATGACAATCCAGTACGAACCAGACAAACCAGTGATTGATAGCATGAGCAGCGTGACCTCTGTTATGGAAATAAATGGGATAACCTGAACAGCTCTACCAAGGTATCCACACGACGTGTGTAACCCGTGAAGCAGACTACGTTATGTTTTTTTTAAGTCAAGACCGTGCGAAAACGTGAACGAAAGGTCCAAGTAAATAATTACTTGCAAGGGTATATGCTTTGGGCTGGGAAAATACCCTGCTGACGGGTTGTTCTGTAAACTAGAAAATATAATAACCCTGAAATGATACGTCATTTCACTTAAACGAAGAAAACAAACACTTAATGCTGGATCTACTTTCAAATCTGTCTTAAGGAAGCAATGTTTTACAGAGCAAGAAACACACATTAACATTTTATTTATTATGTATTTTTCTCATTGATCTTACTGATTGAGTGGCATGACAAAGTTGATATTGTCATAAGTGCCACAGACGAGCGTGAAAATGTCAACATTGTCCGGCCGCTCAATGAGATAAATATTTTATTTGACAAGAAAATGACTAATGTTTGCTAGGTATTTATTTTGAGTGCTCAACTGACCTTGGGGGGAAATGACGATAAATATTGTATATGAAATCCCAAATAATAATTCTTCTTGTTAAAGGTAGTCATGGACTCCAAGGAACAGGAAATGAATTATTAAAAGCCTACGTTCATTCGTGACCAACTCGTGCTTGTTGCAGGTTACGGAAACATCCGAGTGATGACAAAATGGCCCAAACTGCAGTATTGCATTTCCTGAGAATGAATTGGATCGGGTTATTCTCGGTGACTTGCTGGACTGCATGTAATCCCACCCCGACTGCGTGCGACGTTGCTTAAAATATTAACCACTGGTTGTCTGGCCCAGACTCTATTTAACAGGCCGCCATGAAATAGATTGGATATTGCTGATTGCGGTGTTGAACAACATTCACTATTTTTCTAACCCAAATCTCATTGAAATCGGATCTCGCCAAACAATTAAAAGGAAGAACTAAGATCTGATTTTAATGCGATTGATTGTTACCCCTGAACGAATGTTTAAACGATATAGAGGGGCGGTCGGGTAGCCTAGTGGTTATAAAGCGTTCGCTCGTCACGCCGAAGCCCGGGGTTCGATTCCCGACATGGGTACAATGTGTGAAGCCCATTTCTGGTGTCCCCATCGTGATATTGCTGGAATATAGCTAAAAGCTGCGTAAAACCATACTCACTCACTCAAACAATATACACACATGTGGCATTAACTTTTTGTATTAAAGAAACGCATTGGCGCCATTCGCCAAAGACAAAGCTGAGTTACACTCCACATGCTTACCGTATTTGTCGTAATAGATGCAGACTCGTTTTATCACAGACCTACGTCATATAATATTGGAATGTTGATATGACTGCGGCATAAAATGACACTCACTCACTCACCTACATTTCAGTACGGTACGGTGCTTCAGACATCTGGTAAGCTACCCACGCATTTGTTACCAACAGGGGCACTCCTGAAATATGAAATAATTTTTTTCTATGCAATAGAAATATTAATTTTGTAAAATGAACAACTGTATAAATATTGACTGAAATAAGACCCGACAGAGTGTTTTGGGAAGGTCTCCAAGTGACAGAATCTGTAAAATGGGTATTGTACGACACATCGCTTACCTATTCCTTAATAAAGAGAAATGCTATTTTCACATTTATTAATAATATATAATGTATATGTACACTATTTTAACACTGGGCAACAGACGTGTGACAATGACAGCCGAAATAAAAGTGTATGGAGAGGCTCATTTAAGCTGTTCTGGCCAAGCTTAGATATGCATTCATCTAACTGTGAAATTTGTACAAACAGTATGTACCATGTTCAGAGAAAACGGGGTATATTGTATCCCACACGTAATATATTAGCGTACGTTACATGGCATCCACATGTAGTTTTATTCACTGATAATTTAACTTATGAGCGTGTGTTTGCTATTGTATTGAGAGACAACCTTCTCATTGTTACTGATAATTTAACTTATGAGCGTGTGTTTGCTATTGTATTGAGAGACAACCTTCTCATTGTTACTGATAATTTAACTTATGAGCGTGTGTTTGCTATTGTATCGAGGGACAACCTTCTCATTGTTACTGATAATTTAACTTATGAGCGTGTGTTTGCTATTGTATTGAGAGACAACCTTCTCATTGTTACTGATAATTTAACTTATGAGCGTGTGTTTGCTATTGCATTGAGAGACAACCTTCTCATTGGTACTGATAATTTAACTTATGAGCGTGTGTTTGCTATTGTATTGAGAGACAACCTTCTCATTGGTACTGATAATTTAACTTGAGTACATAGAAAAAGAAAAACACGTCTTAATATTAATAATCATCTACATTTTGAACTTTTTCTGGCTGAACACGAAAGTAAAATGTTTGAAGAGAAGCGTTATGGTAAGAAACATAGGACACTATCTGCAGAAGCCAGGACACAAAAATAATAAAACCCCACAGTTTTTGTTAAATCGTAATGTCGCGCCTGACTTATTCATCTAAAAAATGTGAAATTCTCCAGCACTCCAGCTTCACAAAAATTGAAATACAAACGTTTGTGCATGAGAGACCATTTATTTAATGAAAGAATAGCGCTTATGAATATTTTACGACACTTCATTCAATATGAGCCAATATTTGCAAGACATCAAATGCACTGGTCTCGCTAGAAGGGACCTTTGCAGTCAGTGACCTGTGTGAAACTGAAACATGTTCTCTCTGTGTGTAGGGAGATCATTACCGACTTGACAGATGTCAGAAAAGGAGAGGTAGATATAGGATAACGACTCTTTTGGGCCTACAGAAAATATAAAGTCGATGAAAGGTTGACATGGAAATTATGAGACATGTTCAAATGCTGCACACTACTTTTTCCCCCAAATCCTTTTTACACATGCATGTTTTGGACTTCTGACATTATCAAATACAAAAGTATGGTTTAAAACGTATGGATAAAGGATATTTTTTCTAACGTCACCCAAGATAAAGTTATGATGTTTGAACTCTTTTTCTCTATGTCCCTGAAGGAGGTTTGCCTGGGTACGTATGGTTTTACGCCGCTTTTAGCAATATTCCAGCAATATCACAGCAGGGGACACCGGAAATTGGCTTCACACATTGTACCCATGTCGGGAATCGAACCCGGGTCTTCGGCGTGACGAGCGAACGCTTTAACCACTAGGCTACCCGACCGCCCCGCTTGCGTCAAAGACTTTCTCATATTCAAATTAAAAACAAAACAAAAACAAAACCCTTCAAATTTATTTTGGACACATTTTAGCCTTTAACGATGAAATTGGTGTTGTTTTTTGCCCAAATTGGCGCGCGTGAACAGTCTAAT